TCATCAATATACAGAAGTAAAAGGACACGTTCGTTCCAGCTTTATGCTTATCAATAGAATCGATTCTATCTCTCACATTCTGATGAAGAAAAAAAAAAAGATCAACAACATCTGTTTAACTAACTGAACTAAACATACGAATGTCATGATAGAAAAACACAATAGAAATCTACCGTTTTTCTTTTTTCATTGTTGTTGTTATTTCGTGTATATATATATATATATATATATGCAAGAGAAGGGCAAATGATGAAAATGGAGCTTTATCTTGATATATTTCGAAATGGCATCCGACGATTAGGTCAAAATATTTATTTTTCATTACGTCTGACTTCTATCCAGATGGTATGATTCTATCTTTTAATCGATCGATCAATGTAAATAAAATACAAAAAAAAAACCTTGAAAAAAAAAAGATGATCGATCAGATCGAACTTCATTCCAACTTACTTAGTCATACCAATTCTTAATAACAATATCTGACAGAATGATGGTGGCATAGCCCAAAAAAAAAAAAAAAAGAATGAATGCATAAAATTATGTGTGTATGGTGTGCACACGCGTCAGCATTGTTCGTTAATTTTAGAGCAGAACTATTCTTCTTTTTTTTTTTCTTCGTTCAATGTTTTATGAAATACTGATGATGACGCAAAACAGTTCAAACTTAAGTGATTGGCACAAATTAGTCTTGAATTTCTCTATTGTCAAAAATGAATACTAGTCGCTGCTTTTTATATCATTGAAAATAATGTTTATATGATCATTCATTTATATGATTGGAAAAGTTGCCGCTAGTGATTGTACTATTTCTGTTATTACTTCAAGGCCTATTGATTGACATGATAAACGAGGTTAATCGAATGCATATGTTCTTCATAGTTGTCGATTAAATATTAAATCGACAATGTACATATGGTTTTTTTTTTTCATTAAATAAATGTAGTTTTAGATATTATTTACCCATCGGGAATGTTATATTATAAGTGTTCATTGAAATTGTTTATAAACAATCAATCAATTGATTTTCTTACAAAGAAATCTTATACATATTAGCAGATGTTTGATTATAAGTGATAATCTTACAACAATATAAAGATATGATATTTAGTTCTTATCATCATATGTAATTGACCTTGAAATGATTTGTTACACAATAGATCATATTTTATTTTGTAATAAATAATATATTTTTTTTTATTTAAAATTAAAGTCATAGAGAAAGAAAACATTGATCTAGTCCATTTGATTGTTTTTTTACTTTTATTTAATGGTTGACGTACATTTTTTTTTTCAGTTCATTTATGACATCATTGAATCAGTTACCTAATACAATGAATCATTCTTATGATTGAAGTGTATATGGTTGGAGCCGACTGTTCAATGAATTCATTTTGCTATTCGTATAATTTAAAATGTTAAATGTTGATCGATAGAAAGAATGTTTTGTATAGATTACAAAGAAAAAAAAAGAAATTCGTTCTCTTATACAATTTATACTTTAAAAATGAACAATATGAAAATAAATTTCTATATCTGTCAGATTAAATCAAATATCAATTAACAAAAGAAAATATGCAGGTTTTTTTATCTATTTCATTTTATATATCTTATAATATTAAAAAAAAAATGGGAATTTTGGCTTTTCGATCATAATTATATGTTTAGTGTTCTACATCTAACACAGCACACATTATCTTTCAGATAATCTATACGACTATTCAATAAGATGATTGTAGATATGGGCACACTGGTCTCGCTCCCGGCGGTACCAGGATCAGGATCAACATTTTTCCATTGGACGTGATATCTTTTATGAGTGTGTGAAACTTGCGTCAAACATCATATTCTCACGACTCATGTATTCTAAAAGTTAGTGCAAAAATTATTGAATAACAATCACTTTAGTATTTGCTGTGACAATTTTGATAGTAATATTAATCTTTTTTTTTTTTGTTTCGTAAACAACGGAGTTGTTGAACATATAAACGTGCAGAATAGACGAAGTATCAATGAGTTCCTAGAGGAAGGATATTAGAGGTCATGCGGGTCGTGTAAGATGTCTCGAGTTCACTGACATCGCTAGAAAATGATATCGCATTTTTTGATAGTACATATATTACTAAGGGGAAAAGTAGAACCAAAAATTTTTCTGATCGAGACCCGAACCAAGAACAATTGATTCCGCTCGTCATTGGATGATTGTTTTTTTTTAGAGTCTAATAATAAAAATATCATTCGACGATTCATTTCTGGATAGTGGAAAATATAATACATTTTCAAGATTGATCTTAGCATAATTATCTGAGAGCAAATTTTTGCTTACAACAATTATTGCATTTTTCGTGATAGAAAATGAATGTTCAAATGAAAAACGAGCATGAGCAAATAAGTTTAGAGATTCTACAATTCAGAAAATTAATTTTCATTGATTTGGAAAGTCATTTTCTTTTTTCCTATTGTTATTGATGAATTGAGGGAAATTATGTAATGGTACATATTAAAAATTTATCATCAGATACAAATATTCAACCAGATGAGCTTTGTATTTATTGTTGCATTTACTATTCAAATTTATTTTCATGACCTTCGATAAAAGGATGAGAATTGCTCTATTTCAGTTTATAAAGTTTTTCAATCGAGTCAAAACAATGATATATGAATATTTTTGAAACAACGTTTCACGGATGAAAGCTAGAGAGGTCTAGTTTCCAAATACCGAAACAAAAGATTATGGAGTATTTTCTCATAAGAAAAAAGGTTTCTTAAAATAAAAATCGATTTTTTTCCAGAATTTTTGAAAAATTTAATAAATGGAGCTATGTTTCAGTAACATAGAGTAAAAGTTTCCCCTTCTCAAAATTTGATTTAAGCGATTGTTGAAAGCCGCTCTATTCTATCTACCGATATAAAAAATAGTATTGTCGCAATTCACGTGAGTGAAGCAAAATCAGTTCGACTTTTTGCCACGTATTCATAAAAAAAATCAATTTTTTCAAAACCACTTTGAAAATGTTTTACATGCGAGAAATGCTGCATAATCTTCTTGTTACATATTCCAGAAAAATCGCAGTTTTTTAGTTTTTACCTATCGAATGTTATTCTAACATATTTATACCATGACTACTTTCAATGGACAATGTTTTTCAAATTCGAGAAAAGAAAAAAAACCATCTTTTTTGATTTTAAGTAATCGAATTAAACGATTATGAAATTTAATTTATATAGAATACTAAGATACTTAATAGTTGGAACCATAAGCAAAGATTCTTTTTTTTGTTTTTAAAATAAAAATTCCTGCACAATTAAAACTATTCGTATTCAAATAGCAACAACAATTGTTGTGTGTGTGTGAAAAACTTAGTTGGATCGCAACACATACTTTTTATGTTTTAGTTTGCTTGAAATCGTTTTCTTTCTGTCCTTTTACAATGGCAACCTTAATACCATCAACACATATTTTACATGAAATATGGTTGTTTGATTACAGTCGTTCTTCAAAATATGATTAGCAACATACTTTTAATATCGGATCTACGTTTTATCAAATCGACTTTTGTATTTTTAGTACGAAAATACAAAAAATAATATTGAGTTACATTTTGGTTTTCACTACCGAGTGTAATGTTATTCTTAGTTTTAAAACTAATTATAACGACATCTTTCGACAACTAATTGACACAGAAATCTCAACATTGACCTACACTGTATAAAATAGTCTTAATATTGTTGCCACTTCCAAATTAGATCCAGTCATATTTTTAATAAGTATATTGAAATGTATCTATTTAGATTCGATCGGAAATGAATTTTTCTTCCATATTTCAACATAGGTTACTCATAAACTCAAAATTTTACTGTCACAAGTTTTATGAGAATCATGATTTATCCTCGTTTAGTTCTTATTTAATGGCTCGGATTGTTTCTACTCTTTCTCGGTATCTCTTTTAGACAGATTGAAAATCTAACATCAAGTAAGGCAAAAGAAACGATATTGATTCAGCAGCTATCGGCTTTTTGGGCGTCATCGTAAGAAAATTTTGTTTTTTATGGAGAAATACGGGCAGAATTCTAGCTATGTTGTCCAAAATTTAGCAAAAATAGTTTTTCTTGACAAAGGATAAGAAAAAACAGCGGCACATACTGTGATGACTGATATTACAATAAATTAAATTAGATAAAATATTTAGTTCGATCACTTGTAAAGAAAGACTAGATATGTTTAAAATAACAATCACGAAAAATACGAATAGAACTAATTTGAGTCACCACCTTCAATAGAGTTTTAAGATCAGATTCGATTTAATAGTGGTTTTGTACTCAGTTTTTGACACTCGATTTGAAAATATAAGTCGAAGAAGTTCAACAAAAAAACAGAACAGAAAATAACGCAAAGATTGAAAACAATGGCTTTTTTCTTGCAAAAAACGACTTCTTGGTTTTTGGTCTTTTCCGACTTGAAAAAGCTATTTACAAAAACTAAAAACCACTTTTTCTTGATCAACACATCAAGCTCTATCAGACCATGCATATAAAAAAAAGAAAAAGTTTTACTTGAATTTCGCGTTGCCGGCACCTAATATATAGATTAAATCTTTCTTTTTATACTATATGTTATGTTCAAACCGAGAATTTTGTTTTGTACGGTAATCTTGTATTTCTAGTCATCGTTTTGTGTAGGGAGAGATACGATACTATTTCAGAACCTGATGAGATGGCTTTGTAGCCTGACCAGAGATGGTTAACGTCCTGTCATAGCGAAAGCAGTGGAGTACTCTGGGAAGCCTACTATGTTAGTATGGTCTCTATCGTCTTTATCGTACATGATACCTATGTTCGTTGCTGTACCAACCCGGTGTGGACAGCTCTGTTTATATCCTTTCAGGCTCACGGAATATCTTCTTGATCGCGTACGATAGAGAGCAGAGAAAGTCGGAACGAAGGCATAGTATAGCCATCACGGAGCGAGTTTATTGAGCAAGTTGGAGAAAAAAAAAACAAATTTACATATTTTTTTTTACGCGGTCAATATTATCTATCGTTTGTGTAATTAAAGGATGTGATGGAGGAAGTGAGTTTAATTGAATTGCAAGTGCCTTTTCTAAAAAGGAAAGTGCTTTCGCATAGTCACCCATGCCGTCATAAACTTGACCGATATTATTGTAGGAAGTGGCCAAAGAGGGATGATTCGGTGGCAAAGCTTTTTCATTGATTTTGAGTCCGTTTTGATAAAATTCAAGTGCTTTCTGGTAATCACCCATGTTGTTATACGCTTGACCGATGTTATCGTAGGAAGCAGCCAAATTAGGATGATTCGATGGCAAAACTTTTCCAAATATTTTATGTGATTTTTCGTAAAATTCAAGTGCTTTCGAGTAGTCACCCATGTTGTTATATATTCCACCAATGTTGCTGAAGGTAGAAGCCAATGAAGGATGATCTGCCGGGAGAGTTTTTTGCTTGATTGCGAGAGATTTTTCGTAAAATGAAGTTGCCTGTTCGTATTCTCCTTGATAATTTTTTATCTCTCCAAACTGGTGATAGATATGTTCTCTATCAGTGTCATTGGATGAGTTATTAAGTAATTCCTTGTAGATTTCTTCAGCTTGATCAAATTGGCCTACTTTGACCATCAATTGAGCGATTCGATCCCATCCAGTTGATCCTTGAATCTCTTCTCGTATGCGTTGGGTGAGAGCAGCTAGCTCTGGATCATTGTCATTGGTGAGAGTCAATTGTACTTCCCAGAGGTGACTATTGTTGACAGCCTGTTTAATTTCACCAACACGAAAAACCGTGTGCGTTGAGAAGAGAACTTCTTGTTGTTGTGGAATAGCACTATATTTGTCGATGAAGGCGAATGGAATAGTTGAAGCCGATATTTTGCTCGGATCGATTGTCATAACAAAGACGACATCCACATGGTCTTCATATTTGTGCTGTATACGTTGAATATATTCCATAGCTACATGTTTTTGTGTACTAGTCAATAAGAAATTGTTGAACGAAAAGAGTCCACCTTTCTTAGCAAGTAGATGTTCAAATTCCTCTTGGGAAAGTTCCTGACCACGATAAACGACAAATGGTTTTATATGCGCATTCGATTGTTCATTATACAGTTGTTCTAATTGCCGATGTAGACTGCGGATGAAAAAACCCATTTTTACCATGGTTTCCATGTCGAGTAACTGTAGAGCGTGGTCAACCATGCTGTGAAGGAAAGTTTCACTCGTATACCACCAGATTGGTGATTTCTGATGGTATTCACGTTGAAAATCCTTTAATTCTGTTTCAGAAATACCTTTGCCATGGCAATAGGCGACCAGGTCTTTTACAGATTTTGCATCGCCTTCATCAATTTCCGATACGATTTCTTTGAACAGCAGTGAATACATGTGGGACGATTCCAATGCGTCGAGATTTTGTTGATCCGATCCTTTTGCAGTTGCATCCATTGTTAATTTATAATTTTTTTCTTTCGATTTTTGTTCACTAATATTGTATATGAAATGTCGCTTACTTGTTAATGCAGACTAATGAATAATTACTTGCTATTTATACAGAAATAATGTTCTATATTTATACTATGGTTGCCTCCTGTTTTTTTCTCGATTTTTCTACAACGACAAGGGTAGATTGTTTTTTCGTTGACACTCAGTGATTAATAGAGTCTAATTTCAATTGCAAACATGGTGATCAACAACAAACGAAAGAGAAAAAACCCAACGACATCATTTATCGTACTGCTGTTCTTTCTCACTTTCGTTTTTTTTTATGTGCATAATCATTTAAGTGTCAATGTGTAGGATACCTTGGTTTTTTTTCGATTCTTTCAAAACGACTTTTTTCCCTCTCTCCCAAGAACGAAAAAAAACAACAAATTCATCGTCAGTTCATTTTTATTCATTATGCATATGATTCACTTTCTGATAGAGTAAACAGAACAACAAGTAAATGTAATTTTGCTTGAAACAACAATCGAACAACGGTTCCTACTTGCCAAATATATTGCTCATCATGAACGAGTAATTCAAATAACAAGAAAACTGCTCTCATCGCGTTTAACTCAGTGATATGTACACTATAAATTTAAAATAAATTCTATTTTGTAGAAAATCGACTTTGACAAGGCTGCAGCATTTTTAAACTTCCATTATTCATTGGACGAATTTAAAATTTTTACAAAATACTCAATTTTCTAATAAATCGAAATTCAATTTGATTTTCTGAAAGATACATTTTCAGAATACGGAAAATCGGTAATCAATATAAATAATCTTCGAAAATCAGTTGCGATTTTGTAGAAAAAATTTAATGTGTCAATCTCGAACTGCTTCTTATTGTTGTTGTTTTAAAAATTTAGCTGCATATAATTGCTCACCAAATGAAACACGTAATATATGGTGTGTGTGTGTGAAGAACTAAAGCCATATCGTACTGAAATACAAAGCACTTTTATTGCTAAATTAAATTACTTTCATTCATTCTATTGCATCATTGATAGGGAGTAAATTACAGGATACATTCGTATCTGAACGGTAATTCAATGTTCCTATCTCATTGACATAAAAATAAAAAGAAAAGCATTCAATGAACAGGAATATATGACATTTGTGTAGCTACTCCACCTAAACCATCATAATATTGTATTCATTCATGTCTGTTGATGATCTCTGTTTGTCATCAGCAGAAGAATGATTTGGCACATGTTCATTTTAATGTTTAACATAAAAAGATTTAACTTTGTTGCGATACTATGTGCTACGCGGCATCTGTCTTTTGTATCACTTCGTATAATACTTGCCATCTCAACAAAAAGGATTTGCAACTCGTCATAATTTTACTTAATATAAGTAAAAAAAAATATCTGAAATTTTCTTTCAAGCTACAAAACTTAGATCAAATATTGTTAGCAGATCAATTTTTTATATTTTCAAGCGATTTGTTTAAATATTTTATTTTATCTTCAATCTTGGGTATGAGTGTGGGTGGGTGTGAATGTGTGGATTCTGGATGTAGGTGTGAGGTGGCGCACACACCCACACCCTCTGTGATATAGATGATGATGTCTTTCAAGGAGGAAAAGCGGAAATTCTGTACTTCAGCATACTTCACGAATATGTCAAAGCTATCCCTCTAGAGTTTCTTAGCTATTTGAAGTCTACTATCAACGTGTGTCACGAGCATATTAGTTTGGTTCCTTTTATATAAGTCTGTCTGACACTAAAGTTCAAATACTTCATTGTACTTTAAGATTTGAGTATCAGTGAAGTGCGATGAAGTATTTGGACTTTAGTGTCAGATAGATTTATATACAAGAAATCAAACTAATATGCTCGTGTCGCACGTTGACAGTAGACTTCAAATAGCTAAGAAGCTCGAGAAGATAGCTTTGACATATCCTTGGAATATGGTGAAGTACGGAGTTTTCGCCGTTCTTCGTTGGATTCTTCACATTAGTTAAAATAGTTCCATCGTGTTTAATATTTTAATCTCGTACGAATTTTGCTGAAAGCTTGTCCTTCACTATCAGTTTCTATAAGTGTTCTCTCTTTTAGCATCTATGGATGGACGCAAAATTTCATAGCCCTACAAATTCTACATTAGCTTTATACACTCATAAAATGCTCGTCAGACATAGAAATTCTGCATTAACTGTAGATGTACTGGGCGTCTCACAATAGGTTTACTTTCTTATCTCTTCTATCTTTCCGAAAGATATGATATAAATAATATGAAATGAAAATAAATATGCTATAAACCTTTATGATCAATTTTTTGAAAAAAACATGCAAAAATTCGAAAAAATCGATATCGGTTGGTGCAAAAAAGTTGTGTCTATCAGTCAGTATACCGTTGCCAGTTGCAACAATGGTGTGGACACCGTGGGAAGGCAGGTACATGCAACAACACTCATACCTCATTTGTTCTATACCTTCTTTATATCGTATATGTCAAACACCTCGTATACTTCAGGTATCTTTTCTATCCGCTATCTTCTATATCTAATATACTAGTATTTATTGAGTTTCCATGGAAACTCTGAAAAAATATATAATCTAGCACATCCTGGTTACCTATGATAGAACCTAGTAGAAAGTAATAGAACACATAATTAGAATACTAATAGAAACTTTAAGAAAAGATTTATTGAAAAAATAGAAAAATCATATTAGAAAATATAGCAAAACTTCTCTGAAAGGTTTCTTATAGATTTTATATGAAATTTGAATTATTTTGTAATTCATTTACATCATGGATTCTTCTGCTTATGAAGGCAGAAAGGAATGAATGAATGATTTATTCTTTGTGAGTATTCCATTTTCTATAGTGTGATTGGACGTGAAGTAATAAATGCTATTTCCTAAAAATGTGTTTGTGCTTGAATTTTTCGAAGGTGAAGCATTTCTGCTAGACATGGAATAAGTTCTCACTTCTGGGGAACATTGGCAAGCCCCTCCAGTTGACCGAATAGTTAATCGGTAGTTTTCGAGTGGTTTGAACGATATGAGTATGTTATTTCACTCTAACCCATTCTTCGACATATTATTTTTTAGAGAATTCTTTAAATATTAAAATCTTTTATACACGTCTTGTAGAAAATTAAACATAAAATCTTTTGATGTAAAGCTTGAGTTTAATTGATAAAAGCTGAAAAAATTTTCGACAGAATTTCGTAAGGGCCATTTTCCCTGGAACATACATTATATGACCTTCAGGTAATGATAATATAATCGATAATAATAAGCTTCTGAGAATAATGAAGAATGTAGAATTTATTTAACCTAACAAATAATCACAACATAACTTGCAGTCTTAATACTTTAAGATTGTAACAAGACAATTTATATCTGGAACATATTTATGAAAATACAATTTATTGAGTTCAACAACTTTGAACACTTATGCTCGGTTATTTATAAGAGTAAATAATAAATCTGTTTCTTTATTTTTCATACAAATTTTTAAACTTTTCAAAAACTATATCAAAATCTTTAGTTAGACACAAATATTCCGAAGGTAACATCGTACACATGATCATCTAGTGAGTCCATATATGAAGATCGTATTCGGTTTCTGTTTGACTCCATAGTTTACTGTAAACGGTCGTATTTCTCTGTATACAATACGAAGAAATACGATCGTAGGGCGAAGCCACGTGATACAACAAAATATAATCATATACTTTGTTCTGGATATTTACATAAAGTAAAATTAGCAATCTTTAATCGAAAGAAAACTTAAATTTAAATACATTCATCGTATCTGTTAAAATCCATTTTAAATATGCAACATTTCTTGTTCTTAAAGGGATTTTTTTTCTATAAATATTATGATTCGCTTTATTTCAATGAGGAAAAAGTCAACAATGCATATTTTGTAATCTATAATGGAATTTCTAAAATAGAAGCAACAATACAACACTTTTTCGAGTATCATTGGCAGAAAGACAGCAATCTTATTATGTTTTTTTTTCTACTTAAATTGCAGTCAAAGGAAAACATAGAGACATGATTATGATAAATGAATTTGGAAGAAATTTTTAAATAGATAATCATATTTATAAATTCTTAGAATATTACACTATAAATAAAATAGGTATTAAGCTTCCACTCTTCAATAAAAGTCACTTTTCGTCAGAATGATCGAAATTAAGATAAATGTATGGAAAGATTGTTCGTGATCTGATCTTTCATAAATGACAAAATTTTTTATTCGGCACTTCGGTTTTTTTTTCAAAAATTATCGAATATTTCCTTCACTTCCTACTCGAAAAATAAGCTATTTTCAGAAAATACGAAAAGTCTTTTTCGTTTCTTTCTCTGCTTATGATTTTTTGATCGTCCATCCCAGAATTTTTGAAGAACCTTCATTGTAGCCAATTGCTTTTTTGTTTTTGTTTGAACGAGCATGTCAAGATGTAGGGCATAATAGACTTCTTTTTTGGAATTAAGCTTTGTTACTATTATATAAAAGAGTACTGCGACAATTAGAGTGCCATTTGGGAGAGTTTTTGCATCATTGAGTTTTTTATTCCTTAAAAAGTAAGAATTTAAAAATAAAGGCTATGTCATGTCCTGCATCATGACATACTTTTATAAACAAAAAAAAATTAAGTCTATAGAATAAAGGCCTACCAAGAATTTTGGGTCATCAAATGAGCTATTTTTGACCTTTGTTTATTGAATATCTCCCTCGAATGTCATGATATACGGTTGAAAATTTCATGTGATTTCCATGTTCCTGATTCAAGCTCGATTTTTGAGAATGAGAACGGATTAAATCTGAATATAAAGTCTAATTCTAGACGATGAATAAAAATGATCATTCTCTAGTAACTTTATATTATAATAATTTTTTGATGCTCTTTGTCTTTTTCTTCTTCCACAAAGAAAGATGTTATATATTATTTATTGTAGATTTTTCTTTATTCTTTCTTATAATCCAAATAGTATTTATCAATAATGAAAAGAAAAATTCAAGCATGATATTTTTTCTCAGATGGTTTTATATAGATACACGTTGATGAGTAATGGTTGGACGTCATCACTTACAGAACTTAATAAATGTTCTCTGCGTTCATTTTTTTTTTTGTCAAGTCATATGTTCTTTACGCTGCATGATTACGTTCTCAAAGTATGGTGAAAGCCTTTCTCCCACCATACGCCTTTATCAAAAATAAAGAATAGGCTCGAAGAAAAACATTATAGTAGGTTTTTATTTTGTATGACTCTACTCTCTCTCTAAGTTACTTTTTCATAGAATAGATAGAAAAAAAATCCGATAATAACAATTACATGGTCGTCAATTGACGATAATAACTAGGACGATATATTTATTTCATAATACAAATGGAAAAAAAGTATTTTACTCTATATGCATATAAATCTAAAAAATGTATATTTGCTCTTTATTTCCATGTTAAAAATACTTCATCACCCAGCTGTCATCGCCTCAGCTAAGTACAAATAACCTCTTACCTTTTAATGAGAAAAAAAGAAAACAAGTCACGTGCTCTATATAATAATTATATAGATTTACTTGTTTTTGTTTTTATCTATCGAAAATTAGCAAATTTTTGTATATATAATAGATAGTTAAGAATAAAAAAGAATAGAGTATCTCATAGTGCTTATAGGAAACATATCATATTAAATATGTCAATGATAGATATAACATACACTTGACCAAGTTGTATACATATAATAAAAAAATTCGAGTACTTTTTTTATAGGCACTGACAACAAAAACAACGATAATGTCAAGTAATGAACACTGGAATCAAATATGTAACAAATCATCGACTTATTTTGAAGAGTGTTCAATAAATTTTGCTAATAATCTATTAAATATAGATATTAATTATTTTAATATCTATGATAAAACAAATCAAGAAGACAATGAGAAAATATCATTATCAAATAAGGTTAAAAACTAAGTATTGATTTATTTATTTTATTCTATAAATCATAGTTTTTTTTTTCAAATAGATAGATGAATATTCATTACAGACATCAATGACAAATAACTCATCAGCAGAATCTATTCCATTGAATCTTATTTGTGGTGTTTGTGGTGCACCAGCACATGGTTATAATTTTGATCAAATTACTTGTGAATCATGTAGAGCATTTTTTCGTCGAAATGCATTAAAAAATATGGTAACGACTTACTTATATTCAGAAATATTAATTATATTAATCAATAATTCAATATTATTCATGCAAATTTTAATTAATATCTTAATGTAAAAGTCTAATTTTAATTGAAAAATGTGTTATCATGAAGTTTTTTTAACTTATATCCTAAAATAGATTGATACCCATGCTTATAAATATCAGTTTCATGTGAAATACTCATTGTCAATATCATCCAATTCATTTGATATCAAATTCAACTCATTCATTAATATAACAGAATCTTTTATTCTCTTGCATAGCTCATAATTCGATCTTGCTTGTTTTTTCGTTAGATAAATTATTGCAAGTTTTCATCTAATAGTTTTTGTTTTTTTGTGTGACGTAAAAAAAAATCTCTTTCGTAATAATTTGTTTAAAAAAGTTCAATTACTTGCTGTGTAATTCTAATTTGATTTCGACTTAATCCTATATATTTTTAGTATCAATTTGAATGTCGTTTCGGTGGTACCTGTGTTATAAATATGCATAATCGTCGTCAATGTACTCATTGTCGATTAAAAAAATGCTTTGCTATAAATATGCGTAAAGATTGGATACGTACTGAAGAAGAACGTCGATTACGACAATTAAAAAAATTATATAAACAAAAAAAACAACTAAATGAATTATCATTAGATGAACAACAATTGATTGCAAATCTTCCATTAGTTGTACGAAAGAAAAAAGGTACTAAATCATTAATTACAAGACAAGTAACACAAGAACTTGTTGTTTCAAAAATTGAATCTGTAAATAAAAATATTTATATAAAAAAAAAACCAATTACACCTTCGTTTTTATTTTTGTTTCTCTCATATCTAGATTTATCCAATCGATACTTTTGCTATTCATCGTAATTTATCTAACGATGATAGAATTTTATTAAATAATATTATGAATGCTTATAAACTTGGAGCTGATCAAGCTGATTATTCTCATATTAATCGATGTACATCATCAACAACTTTAGTACAATTCTTAAATGATGAAACTGCTATATATGAATCATTAATTTGTTTTTATAAACAAATACCAGAGTTCAAAAAGTCTAATTTAGCTGATCAAGTTTTATTAATTAAATCTAATGTAACTAAAACAATACATTTACATCATATAATAGTAGAAAATTTTCAAGAACTAAAACATATTGGTGAACAT